TTCTAAGATACAGGATCTATGTAGGTTTCGTTATTTTATTTTTTTTCTTTGTTTTTATAGATACTGTCAGGTTGCCTTCCAGAGTTTCAATTCAATTACCAGCTCCATTACCATAAACAAGTTACCCTATCTTTCTGACTCTCAGTAACTTCATCTAGAAAATGAGGACAATAGTATCTAAAGGGCATAGTTGTAAGGACTAAATGAGGAAATCACTGCCTAGTAAAATCTTAGTCTTGCAAAAGACTTACTCACTCATCCAAGCCAAAGTAGATTTGCCCATTCTTCACCCATATTATACCCTGTTCACAGCATCTAAGTCTATTTTAAACAAAATTAATTTATATTCTGTCTCCTGTACTGGATATCAGCATCAAGCAAGCAAGAACCTTATTTTTAAATTCACTATTGTATATACAGTTTCGTGCATCATGTCTGAGTCAGCATGTGCTTGGGAAATACTGTTTGAATGAGTTCATTAATGAGCCAAGCACACTACATGCATTCTGGTTAAATCCCCCTAAACAACCATGAGATTTGTATAATGATTCTCCCCATTTTCAGATCAGGAAACTGAGGCCCACAAAGGTTCAATATCTTGCCCAATATCACAGAGGTATATGATGAAGGTGGCATCTGAATCCAGTTTATCTGACTCCAGGACTTGCATTCTTCACCACTCTGCTCTTCTGCTGAAATCACTCTCTTCTTTCTCAGGGTCCTTTCAGCTTTGTTTAAGGTTTTCACTGGTCCATCTGATGTTTGTAAGGACTATAGTCTTTATAGCAGAGAGATCAATACTTTGTAATCAGAATCAGGATTCTTTCTCAGTGACCTCAAATCATTATTTATCCTGAATTTCAATTAAAAAATAAAACAAACAACCCAGAATGCAGTGGTGCTGAAATGCAGTCAGCCTGCCCCCCTCTGAGGGGCAGAGACATAGCTGTCATGACCACTTTGGGGTTGCCCCTGGTTCTGGGAGTGGAAGGGCCTAGGTGTGGACTCAGGTGAGGAATATCAGACTAGAGGATGCCTGGGGCCTAAACGCTAAAGTAGGCAGGGCTGGGGAAACTGTACCCAGGCATGTGCCCACATTTTTGCCTGGTGAACCATCACACCATGAGTCTCCCTGTACTGTTGCTATGGGTGGTTGCAAGGCTTTGACAAGTACTCCCTCTGTGTGTGTCTCCCTCATCTGTTTTTGGCATCACTGGTTACATTTCCCATTATAAAGACCAAGGTGGCCCTCATTTCTCTACTAATGGCTAGAAATATTCTAGAAGTTTTTCATTTCACAGGATATCCAAATTAGCTCCCAGGATAGGCTGATAATCCAAAAATGCCTCAAAGCCTAGGCAGAAATGGCCCTACCCAAAGCTGATTAGAACATCCCCAAGTCGAGAGAATGATCTCAATACCAAACACAGAGCTGCTGAAAACAGAGTCTTTCCGGAGCCCAGGTATAATCTCTGATTCCAGGGCCAATCAGAGATTTCAGCATGGAGAGTCTCATCTTCCAGCCAATCATCTCAGAGCTTTCTATCCCAGTACCAGTAAGAACCAGCAAGAGCAGACGGTGCTTCTGGATCTAAATAGAGCTGTCTCCTGGAACCCAAAGGCACCCTGTTCCTAAGAGACAGAGCAGAAGAGTGAAAAGAGGATGGGCTTTGCAGACAGGCCTAGGGTTGAATCCCAGCAGCTCCATTTATTGGTTAGAAGACCTTTAACAGAAAAGCCAATCAATTCTCTGAAGCTCAGTTTATCCACCAAATGGGTATATCCTAATCTAACAAGATTACGATGAGAATCAACATTTTCTAAGTAGATGCCCAATAAAGTTAGTCATGTTCTTCAAAAGCCTGGATGCTAGAAGATATATTTATATAGTCTTCTATCAAGATTCCAAGATCCTTGAGGATAGAGCAGTGTTTTTTGCTTCTGAGTTCCTTAAAACATGTTGCAATAGTCTGGGCCCATGAGAATTGCTCTTAAACAAAAATGCTTGCTGATTTGAATTGAAAATCCTCTCTTGGTCTTCCCTGACCACACAAACTGATGCAAACACCAAGGACCAGCATCCTGAATAGGGCCTGGAATGCAAGTAATCTTAGCCCCAAGCAGAAAACACCATTTTTATAATTCCCAGTTCTTGTCACCTACAGAGGGGCACTCACCAAGCTTCTTACTTTCTGCCCTTTGAATCACAAAACCACAGTTCTGGGAAAGATATTAGGGATAATCTCATTGCACCTGCCCCTCCTCTGGTCAGTGGCTGCCAAGACAGTCAGCAGTCAGTGATGGATGCTGTTCCTGCTGATATTAAATGCATAATTAATGAGACCGTAAGAAGGAGACAAGGCATGTTCCAGGCAGGGTACAGAGAACAAATCCATTCTCACACAGGGGGAGGAAAAGGTAGGAGAACAAAGATAAGGTTGGAAAATGGTCCTGTTTTGGGGTACTTTTCAGTAAATACCTATGGAAGCCTCATCAGGAAAAGAGACTTACTTTATTTTGTGATGTTGGCCACCTTCCTGTTTTACAGAATCTTGTGGGTGTGACAGCCCCAGGCAATGTTGTGGTGACCAGAAAGAGGCCTCCCTTCTGTCCTGTTTGTCAAAGACTGACATGCATCCCCAGCCCTGACACATTTAGGGTCATGATCATCATCACAATTATCCAAATAGTAAGATTATTATTGTTATAATGAGCTAACACTTATTAAATGGCTACTTTGTTCCCAGCACTGTTCTAAATGCATTACGTGAATTAATTCACTTAATCCTCACAACAATCCAAAGACATAGCTGCTATTAGTATCCTGATTTAATGTTGAGGAAACTGAGGCACACAGAGATGAAGTAATTGTCTAAAGTCACTAAGCTTGCAAGCCCGTACTTCTCATGTATAAAACCCTCAATCTCTGAGCATCTCTCAAATACAGATTTTCTTTCAGGAAAACAGGATATAAACCTAAAGAAACTGCATGAAGGACTGAAGTTGAACTTCTCTTAGAAAATATCCATCTAAGAGCATGGAAAAGAATGAAGTCAGGAAAGCAAGTTTGAGGCTGCAATTGCTGACACCCACAGAAAGAGTTAAACAAACAAGCTTGCAGTTGTATGGACCACACTCTGTCACCTCTGGCTCCTGGGTATGGTGCTCCAAGTTGTCCCTCCCAAAAAGCAAAAACCTCTCTGAACATACCCATGACCAGAGCCTGCAGGCATCTCGGCCACATTTGAAAGGGAATCAAACACCTTTCCTGATTCAAACCAGCTAAAGACATATGCTTTGTTCCCATGTCAAAGATTTATAATGCCAGGGGAAAGTCTCATCCAGAACCCAGCTGGGCAGTCAACCCACTGCAGGGGTGAAAGTCTATATCTGGCACGTGGCTGTTGTCATCTGTGTGGGCCTTGGTGTCAGCCACCACTGAGTTCTAGTCCCAACTTTGCATCAACGTGCTCCATGACACCAGGCTATCTCATTATCTGAGTCTCACTGCCTCCTTAGAGCAGAAAAATATTAGTAGTAGGGGCTAACTGATAGGGTGGTTGTAAAGACAGGGAAAGATAGTGCCTTAAGGTGCTTCCTGTGAGATCTGGCATGTATTAACCATCAGAAAACAGCAGCTACTCATTTTATCATCATTCTCATTATCAGTCAGTTGCCTGATGTGAATGCAAGGTAGTTCAAGAGAATCTTGTTCAAAGAGACTGTTCATCCTCTCAACAAACACTCATAGGCTGATGCTCTCAGCAGGATGAATCTCACAGGCCTCAGCATAGACATCACTTCCCCAAGGATACCTACTATGTGCCAGGCACAGAGCATCGAGTTGCTGTGTGTTCAAGGTCTTTATACTCACAAGGCTACGTTCTACGGGCAAAAAGAGAGAAAATATGCACGTAGTCAAGAATGATGATTTCTAATGACATTTAGTGCTATGAAGAGACTCCAGGAAGCCACGTGGTGATGCATAATGACCTCGGGGTCAGTGGGGGTGATCCTCAGAGAGGAATCAGGCAAGGGAGGCCTCCTGAAGGAGGAAGTATTTGAACAGAAACTCATAGGACCTTACAAGTGGATTCTGCCAGCAAGCCCCCTTGTCACATTCCAGTTCTGGAAAAAACTATGAAGTAGAAAGGGTAGTTGTCACATTTTACAGATGACTAATTTGAGGCATGGATACAGTCCAGGCCTTGCCTGAAGTTGCTCACAGGCCTCGGCCCAGACAGGAACGGAACAACTTAGATGAGCAGGGAGAAATCACCATCATCCCAGTTGATGAGCTCAGTGTCTTCTTCTCCCTAAGCCCCCGCTGCAAGAGATGCCGGGAGTCAGAGACTTCCCTGGAGACGATACTTTTGAGCGTGGTGGTGCGGGAGTGGGGGGGGGCGGTTAGTGGGGGCTTCCCTCTCACATCTCCAGGCAGAAGCAGCAATCCGGACTTTCCCACAGAGTTTGTTCTTCTTGGGCCTGGACCTGGGGCAGGTGTGTCATTCTGTTTGCCTCATGCACATACTTTTAGGACCCTGAATCTTTTAGAGATCCCAGGTCTTAGCTGAGCACTAAAAATGACTTTCAAAGGAATCAGGAGCCACAAAGTTGTACTGGGGAACTTGATTGCAAATCATTTTTCAGAGTCTATGACTGGCTGTTCTTTTGGCTTCAGGGAATAGAAAAGTAAAAAAAGGTGATACATTTTTAAAAGGTGGGACTGACTCTGACAGTGAATGAATGCAAGTCTCCTTGTTAGCATAAGATCCATTATACAGTCACATTTGCATATGATGGTGAATTGACGACTATTTAATCAAGGCCCTGGTTGAAAGCCTGAGAATTTTCTCCCCAGCCACACCCCACCATGGGAATCCCTGGAGACACTGGGACAGCTTCTGTGGGCCTTGGGATGTGTCTGATGGAGCAATCAGCCCAACATGTCAGAGATGCCCTGGGCAGCTCCAAGGGTAGCTCTGGGGCTTCATACTCACTTGGAACTCAAAGTTCGTGTGCTCCAGGAACTTCTGGTTCATGGTTTCTGCAAACTTGTTGATAGCTCTCAGGAAGACCCTGGAAGAGGGCAGAAAATTACCAGACCATCTGAGCATGACCCCTCAGGTTCCTTTCTCCCTGTGCCAGGCTGAAATTCCCTTACCCTCTGCGGGGAGAGTCTCAAAGGTCAAATCACTGATTTAGAGAGGTCAACTAATGCAGATTAACAACTGTTCACACTCTAGACCTGGGGCTGTTTGCCTTGCAAGAATTCAATAACTGTTTAAATTCTTTTTGAAAATTTGCATTGTTTTATGTTTCAGGCATTACAAACTTATGGCAGAGGATTCATGCCATCCAGAAAAGATCTAAAGAGAAATCGCCCCCCATCCCAAAACAAATAAACAACATGCCACCACATCCTATCATCTATCGAAAACTGTCATCTACATGTTGATGAACATTATTTTCAAAGGTCTCCCTGGATGTGAATATACAAATGATATTTTAAGGATATCATTTTGATAAATGAGTCTAAACAACAAATGCTGTTTCACAGCTTGTCTTTTTTACTCGGCAATAAATTGTGTGCTTTCTTCATGCCATTGAACGTAGATATATACCATCCTTTTTAATCAGGGAAGAGCATTTTACTGTATCACAGTTAGTTTAACCTATTTCTTATTGATCGGTCTTTTTGTTTTTTCTTTTTTTTCTGTAATAAACAATGCTCCAGTGATTACTCTTCTGTGTATATCATATACATCCTGTATATACTCCTTTTCCAGTGTTCTCCTCCAAGTAATAAGACTATTCAAATGAGCCAGGTGCGGGGGCTCACATCTGTAATCCCAGCACTTTGGGAGGCCAAGGCAGGCAGATCACCTGAGGTCTGGAGTTCGAGACCAGCCTGACCAACATGGTGAAACCCTGTCTCTACTAAAAATAGAAAAATTCACTGGGTGTGGTGGCACACACCTATAATCTAAGCTACTTGAGAATCCCTTGACAGGGAGGCGGAGGTTGCAGTGATCTGAGATCGTGACAGTGCACTCCAGCCTGGGCAATACAGTGAGACTCTGTCTCAAAAAAAAAAAAAAAATGCTGGTCAAATGCCATGCACTTTTAACATTTTGATACTTGCTGTCAATTTGCATTTCTCCTTAAGGGTCTTCCTGTCCATGTTGTTTTCTCCCTCCTCCTTGCCAAGCCCTTCTGACTGTTCTTGAGGCCTCCTGTCTCTTGCTCTTTCATCCTGGAAAGCACCTTTCCCTATAGGACAGCTCCATCATATCAATCACTGATTTAATGGCTCTCCACTGCCCATAGGGTAACTCCAAGCTCTTTCTCTGGACAGTCCCTCCCCCCATAATGGGACCCCAACCTTCTTTTCTAGGCTTACTTCTTGCAATTACCCTGTGCTTCTGGTATTTCCCAAATCCCTGGCTGCATTCTTTCTTTGTGTAGAATGTCCCTCGACTTCTCATCTCTGAAAGTCAAGATTCTTCATGGTGATTATCCTTCATGGTCCAGATCAAGAGCTTTCTTCATCGAGTTGTCCATCATCCCGCCTTAAATGATTGTGACTACCCCATTCTCTGAGATTATTTCTGGCACCAATCCTATGAGCACACTTTAAATCTAGCTGTCAGTGTGCAGCTGCATCTCCTCTTTCAGACTGTGAGCTTCTGCAGGACAGCGTCTTCTGTACTATGTGTCCCCCAGGGATCTTCATTGTAACTCTCTTTTCTAACGTTCATTATGGTCTAGGATGATTTACTTGTATGACTCAGTAACATCTCTCTCCTTGAGTAGATTCTACTCTCCTGGAAATCACAGGCTCCATCTATGAGCTCACATTCTACCCAGTTCACCTGCCTTTAACTCTTAAATTTGTATCTCCATCCCTGACCTCTCTTCTAAACACCAGCTTGTACTCCGCTCTCTAATCTATACCCATACTTGAAAAACTTACAGGCATCTCAAACTTCCATGTCAAAAAGTAAACTCCTGATACCTGCCCTCCCCACACTCACCCAGAAATACTTCTTCCTGTAGTCTTCCCATCTAAGTTAAGAACAATTCTATTCTTCCTATTGCTCAGAGTGAAGGATAAAAAAGAAACAACTTTGGTAACGTCCTTGACTATGTCTTTCTCTTATATCTTACACCTGGACTTTACAGAACACATATGCATATAAGAAGCGTCTCCTCTCAGGGACCAAAAAGGCTAGGCTTTTTATCCCTTAGCTGCAGCCCCTCACTGGCTGAAAGGTGCTCCAATGGGCCGAAAGTCTCTGGTACTTCTGGCCTGTCCTGCAGGTGAGCTGAGCACTCTGTAGCCAGAGAAAGCCCAGGGAAAGAAAGAAGAAGGAAAGCCTCAGGGTGCATGGGAAACGTCCACCAAAGCTACCGGAGGATGGGTGAATTTTGGGTGGTCTAAGAGTTGGTGGGTGGAGTATCTGCAGCATTTGTTACATCAGGCACTGCAAGACCAGGTGTTCATTAAAATACTTTCATGACTGTTGAACACAGAGGCAGTGTATGCTAGCACTGCGATCACAGGATTTGGACACACACACACACACACACACACACACACACACAGATGGGTGTGATTTCTGGCTTTGTTACTCTCCAGCTGTGAGGTTTTGGAGCATGTTAATATCACCCCTGACATTTCAGTTCAGTCTCCTCCCTGGTGAAACAGCAGTAATGTAACCTTTTTCACAGGGTTATTAGCTGAGGTGGCTTCAGACCCCACTGGACTGTTTCATTCTTCTAAAGTCAAGAGCCAGACAACAGGGAAGACAGAGGACAGGGATCAGTTAGCAGCCAGTTTTGAGGCAGGCAGCACCTTACAAAAACAGAAATGCAAACCCCATAAAATCTGCCACCCCATCAGGCTGTTACAAAGTGAGATTTCTTTGGTTTTGTTAGTCTGTTATTCACCAATATGTCTTTGAAACAACATCGTATTTTGTACTCTCTCTTGAAAGATTAGTTATCTGATTCCCCAGATGGAAATGCATTGAGTGGCTGTCATATCATATGTAAACATCTCAGAATCTTGAATACAATACCAAAGTGAGGGCTTTTACACATTCTCAGCAGCAACAAAGCTATCAGTCCTTCCAGGAACAGTCATTATTTTGGTTGTCAGCTTAAACTTGTCTCCAGCCTCAAAGGCCAGTCTAATGACCAGGAATTGATCTGCCCCTGTGCTGATGACGGGGTTTAGTAGCAGGTAAATCAAAGTTCCTCCCTTTCTCTAGTCTTTCACAGCCACACACTAGAAATAAGAATATCTCTTAACTTTGGTTGCCCATGTTTGGGTTGAGAAAAGTAAGGCATTTTTCTTATTTTCTTTTTAAACGATAATTGTACTTAAAGCCTACGCACTCATATAGTAAAGTGGGTTAGGATGAACATACAGTCAACTCGGTTACTCTCAACAATGAACTTGAGTTGTTGAAAACAAAGTTCATGGTCAAATCTCAGCCTAGCACTTCCTGTGTCTCTTCCGTGATGCTTACTAGCTGTATGGGAGGAAGAACAATCTCAACCACGGTTTTCAACTGTGTGCCAGGCTCCATGCTAGAGGCTTTGCATGGATTTTTTTCGTCTTTTGCTTTTGTTTTCTAATGCTCACATATCTCTGAGTTTGATGTGGTTTCCACTTTAGAGATGTGAGTTTAGGTGACTTTCCCAATATCCCAGCCAGTACATGTAAAAATCAGGATTTACATGAAGTCACACTGCCTGCAGAATCTAGGTATTAAATCACAGTGCAGTTGTGTCCATAAGATCATCTCTGTAATTCTGTTCAATCCAAGCTGTGAGCACACTTAATAATTAATTAAAACACTCAACTCTGAGTGTGTTTATCTATTTACCTATTATTAATAACAATGATGGAAGTATCAATTATCATAATTCACATACCCTGTGCTAAGAGCTCTACAGACGTTATTTCATTTAATTCTATAAACTGAAGAAGAAGCTACTGTTATACCCATTTAACAGAAGAGGAGACTGAGCCTTAGAAAGATGAAATAATTTCTCCACATTCAAACAGCAAAGAAGCAGAAGAGAACAGACCCAAACTCAGGTTTTTCTTTCTCTAAAGTGTTTTCAGTTAAGCAGAAGGACACACTGGCTCCTCAGAAGGTCAGCCTCCGTGGGCTTCCGGCACCAGCATGCTTCTGCTCATGCCTGTCGTGCACATAGCCCTTCGCACTTCGTCCACATCATTCTGCTGCCTGCCCACAACTGACTGGGCCCAGGGCCAACACTTGACTCAAAACAGTCTCGAATGGGCGGGCCGGCAACCCATGGGTGGTCTTATGGACATGGTACTGTGCGATGGAGATACCCAAACCTGGACAAAAGTAGACCCATCCTTTCAGAGAGCCCACGAGGAGGGAGAATGAAATCTGAGCCTTGAGCAGAAGCCATGGGCAGACGATTCCACGAAGAACCAGAAGCCATATGCAATAGAGCAGGGAACAGAGAAGTCAGCTGTTGTGAGTAGGAAGAAACTGACAGAACGAGGAGCCAAACCTGGGCTTTGCTATCCTGAAAACTGTTCCATGTGAGGTCTCACAGAGCCTGCTGGCTCGAGTCCCCAGCTTCCTACTTCTCTTCATGTGGCAGAACAAATGCTGGTCACAGGAGGCAGCCAAGAATAAGCCTATACACACTACATGCACTACTCTCTGGCCCGGGCCCAGAAGTGGAAGGTGCATAACGCCTGCAGGTGTTGCAACCTTCTAGAGTCCCCTTCCCACGCAGACACCCTTCTAAGCTGCGGCCACGGGCTGAGTGGTTGACCTCTGTGAATCTCAACTGCCCCATCTGTAAAAGGAGCCATGTGTGAAGACTAAATGAGATGCAATACAGGAAGCAGGGGCCCAGTGCCTCGGCACATAGATGTCCTCAGTACATGTCAATTGTTGTTGTTACGGTCATCCTTAGCTGCCCACTGCCTCGACGTTCTGGGGCAGGACGATATGAGGCTGATGATATTCCCATGTGACAGCACAGCATAGACCCATGCCCACAGGTAGTATCATGTG